GTCAGGAGGTTTCACGAAGGGGAACAGCGATAGCACTGAATCCATGGGATCAAAAGGAAAGATGCAAGAAAAGTCAGGAGCTGAAAGCCTCTTTCTATGCTTAGGGCCAGGCAGTCTTCCTAAGGAGCTGACAGCTAATGCTTTATGGTTTATTGGGGTGTGTCAAATCAAGCCTCTTAGAAATGGCTTTTGGCTCCCTAGTGTCTGGATGTGCAGTTCCATTCAACCAACTAATGCAGGCACTATTTGACCCAATTCTGTGGTCCCAGTTGGCAAAGCCACTCTGCTAGCCAAAGAGGCTGGAGTTCAAATCTAAGTTATGAAGGGAAGCCTGCATCTTAACTCTATTCCCTCCCCTCTGAATTGGAGGCTCTGAATAGCTTATGAACTAAAAAAAAAAAAAATTAACTGCACACCTCCAGTGGGAGTGGTCAGCAACAGGCACAGTGTATGGGGAACCAATCCTACCCTGAAAACTCGCATTGGCTTGACCCATGTCACCTGGCTCATGGGGTCTTCTGAGGACGCTGAGTCACTCACCAGCTGGACTGAGACCTGAAATGAGTGGAGAGAGACACCCGGGGTGGGCTCTGCTTTTAAGTGGTTGGGCAAGCCAGCCATTTGTGCTGCTCAGTCCTCTCAACTTGAGGACAGAAAAGAAATGAACAGACACCACAAGAAATTGCTCTCCTCCTTGCAATCTCCAACTGGGGCCTACTTACATTTTTGTTTTTCTGGAACAGCGTTCTGGCTTCGTTTAATATGTACTGTTTCTCTTTAATAGTGTCTTCCATCTGCCCTGACGCAGCCTGCCACTTCCTCGCAAGCCTGAAAATTCTGCGGTACAGGCCAAGGACTTCTTGTCGAGTTGCTGTTGTCATCTTCTGACCCACCAAAATAGAAGAGGGAAAATTTGCATAAAAATTCAATTTGACAGTAGGTAGTCAAGCAGATGTCTGTTTTCGTTTTTTTTTAATCAAGCCCTTTAATTAGTCTAGAAATAACTGCTCTTTCTCAACAGATCTGTTTGGTAGCATTGCCAGAACGGTGTTGTTGGCATACCAGCAATTTCCTCTCCGGCCTTGCACGTCATCCCTTGGTGGCGGGTTGCTCAATCGTGCTGTTTGTCATGATGGCCAGTTTTATGAACATGACAAAATCAAAATTCATATTTACTGTTCTTTAAACCGGTAAATTATTTTCCAGAATATCTTAGGAATGATGCTTTTGGTGTGTATTCTGGTAAAAGAATACTAACCTATGTGCCTAGGAGAAGGAACATTTTGAATAACTGAATTCTCTAGTTGAGTGAGAACTTGAGTTTAATGCAGAGATTGCAAACTCAGGTGCCTCTGGGGCCTGACAGGTAACAAAATGAAGGAACCTGGCTGGGTGGGGACAGTGGTCAACTGGAGAGGATGTGTCCCCTTGAAAGAGGACAGTCGCTACTCAGCCCCAGCCAGCGGCTGCCATGTAGAATTGAGGGCCTAAGAATGACAGATTTCCTGAAAGCTTGACAATAGGTGGTAATCCAGATTTTTAAAATGTGAAATTTCAGAAAAGATGGCAGTTTATTATTTTCGAAAATGTGAGTACCAGAAGGCCAAATAAAGTGGGTCTGTAGGCTCTGTTCCAGCCAGAGGCTGTCAGGTGGCAATGTCTTTTCAGTTCATCATAACCTTGTTGAAAATATTTCTCAAAATGGTTTGTCTACTTTGTTGTCCACATGAGAACTGTAAAATAAGCACAACTGAAAATCTTTCTGATGACTAACGATCTCGTGGCTCCCTCTGGGTTTTTACTCTGAAACATCAGTTTTAATTTCAGAGGACATGGCTAAGAAAATCAACTCAAGTATATTCCCTGAAGCCAACTGTAGTTTTAAAAATTAAATTCCTATTATTTTAAAGTTATCTTTATTATAAAATATTTCAGATATATAAAAAGATATAGATAGTAATATAATTAACAGCCATACATACACAAAGAACCTGAAAGAATAAATTATATACACAGTTGAAATTTCCATCGTACCCCTTCCAAATCAAACTCCCCCTCCTCTCTCTTAGAAGTAACCACTATCCTGAATTTGTTGTTTATCTTTCTCACATATATCTTTACACTTCACATTACAAAGTATTGCTTAGCAAGTTAAAAAAATGTATATATATGGGGTATTATGTCCTTTATTATGTCCTATTACACCTGGCTTTTTTTTCACCCATATTTGTGCGATTCATCCCTGTTGTTACAGGTAGCTGTAGTTCCTGTATTCTCACTACTGCAGTTCAGTCCACTGCATGAACATATCCCAACACGCCTGTCTGTTCTCTTGCTGATGGACACTGGTGTTTTCTTTTCCTTTTCTTTTCTTCTTTTTATTTTTTTTTTTTTACTTATGCAAAAACTTCAGTCTATTTCTTTACTATCTACTTGTATGTCTAAAAGACATTCAGGTAGATTGGCCAAGATGGTGGAGTAGGAAGACTCTGAGCTCACGTCCTCTCAGGGACACACAAAAATTACACCTGTTAAGGGGAGGGTGTAGCTCAAGCGGTAAAGTGCATGCTTAGCATGCACGAGGTCCTGGGTTCAATCCCCAATACCTCCTCTAAACACAAATAAAACTAATTACCTCCCTCCACCTAATAAATAAATAAATAAATAAATAAATAAATAAATAAATAAAAATATGCTTTAAAATATCTTAAAAAAAAATTACACCTATTGTTGAAAAAGACCAGAATCTAGCAGAAAAGATGTTCTACAACAAAGATGTAAGGAGGATAATTACAGCTGCAGGGCTTGTCTTCAAGGAGCAATGGGTCTGAGCCCCACGCTGGGCTGCCAGGCCGGGGGGCTGGCACCGGGAAGATGAGCCCCCGGAACATTGCACTTTGAAGGCTAGCGGGGCTTCCTTTTCAGAGACCCAGAGGGCTGTGGAGTATAGAGAATCCACTCTCAAAGGGAGCATGCAAAATCTCACAGGATTTGGGACGTAGGGCAGAAGTGGTACTTTGAAAGGAGCCTGGGTCACACCCACCTCCTGATCTTGGAGTCTCCCAGAGAGGCAGGAGGCAACTGGAGCTCAGGCTGGAGACACAGACACTGATGGCAGCCGTTTGGGGGAGCTCATTCTACCACACGGACAGTAGTGCTGGCAAGCATCATTTTGGAACCCTCCCTCTAGCTTATTAGCACCTGGCCCTGGCCGCACCCACTAGCCGGTCCACTCTAGCACTGGGATGCCTCAGGCCAAGCACCTCAATAGGCAGGGACATAGCCCACCAACCCGCAGGCAGGCTGCCTTAAGACTCCCTGACATGGCCCTGTCCACTAGGGGGCTCAGGATGCTGCCCACACACAAGTATGCAGAAACATCTAGGAAAATATCAAGTGTTCTAACAGTCACAGCATAGGTGTCCTAAAAGAAGAGAGAGAAAAAGGGGCATAGAACATAACGGAAGACATAATAGCTGAAAATTTCCCTGACTTGGGAAAGAAAATAGACATCCAGGTATAGGAAGCACAGAGAGTCCCAAATAGGATCAACACAAGGAGGGTCACAGCGAGATACACTGTAATTAAAATGACAAAAATTAAAGATAAGGAGGGAGTATTAAAAGCAGCAAGGGAAAAGCAACAAGTTATATACAAGGGGCCTAATGTAAGGCCATCCACTGACTTTTCAGCAGAAACTCTGCTGGCCGGAAAGGAGAGGCATAGTACACTTAGAGCGATGAAAGGGGAAAACCTACAACCAAGAACACGCTACCTGGCAAGGCTTTTATTCAGATTTGATGGAAAGCTCAAAAGTTTTACAGACAAGCAAAAGCTGAAAGAGGTCAGCACAACCAAAACATCTTTACCAGAAACGCTGAAGGGACTGCACTACGTCAAAAAGAAAAGGCCACAGCTAGAAACATGAAAATTATAAAAGGGAAAAGCTCATGTGTGAAGGCAAATATACAGTAAAGGCAGTAAGTCAGCCATGTACAAAGCTAGGAGGAAGGCTAAAAGACGAAAGCAATAAAATCATCCGTATCTGTAATAAGTGGGTAAGGGATACACAGAGCAAAAGGATGTAAAATGTGGTGTCAAAAACAGTAATCACGAGGGGTGGGGAGTAAACATGCAGGGTGGTTAAATGCGTCTGCAATTAAGAGATCAGTAACTTAAAAAAAAACCGTAATAGATATATAGATAGATTACTATATATAAATCTCACGGTAACCACAACCCAAAATCTAGAATAGTACACACACCAATAAAGAGAAAGGAATCCATCCTAGAGAACCTGCCATCGAAAAGAATGTATATTCTGCTTTTTTGGGATGTAATATCCTAAAAATGTCAATTAACTGTTCTGTGTGTCATTTAGTATCTCCATTGCGTTGTTGATTTTTTTATCTGGAAGATCTGTCCAATGATGTTAGTGGGGTGTTAAAGTCTCTGACTATTATTGTGTTCCCATCAATTTCTCCCTTTATGTCTGTTAGTATTTGTTTTATATATTTAGGTCCTCCTCTGTTGAGGAGTTAATGAGTTAATATCCTCTTCTTGTATTGTTCCTTTTATCATAATACAGTGTCCTTTATCTTTCTTTATGGCCTTTGTTTTAAAGTCAGTTTTGTCTGATATGAAGATTGCTACCCCCTCTTTCTTGTCATTTCCATTTGTATGACATATCTTTTTCCATCCTCTCACCTTCAATCTATGTGTCCTTCACCCTAAAGTGGGTCTCTTGTAGGCAGCATATTGTAGTTTTAACTGCCTGCATAATCTTTTTATACAGTCCCAGTTGTTGAGTAGGGCTTCCTCTTTGCTCATCACAGCCCTGAAAGGGGCCAGGTTTGTTCCCCTGTCGTTGGAATAAAGGCTTCCACACGGGTTTCTGAACCGCGGTGTGTGGTAGGTGGGACCGGGGTGCTTCTGCTGGAAGAGGAGCCGCTGAGTATTCCTCCACAGGAGATGTCCATCGGAGACTGCCCTCTGTGGTGGTGTCTGTCACTTGTTAATATTTTATAATAATTTTAAATGCAGTATAAATCCATAATAATTTTGAATCACTATGTTGTATATCTGAAACTAATATAAAATTGTAAATCAACTATACCTCAATTAAAAATGATTTTAAAAATAAAGGAAATTCAAGGAAGATAGAAAAAGAAATCCCACTACTGGAGGATTGTGATTAATTAGGTTTAGGAGATTGAAGACTGTAGTGCCTTTAACAAAGCAAGCAGCCTGGAAAGATGAGGACAGATCTGGTGAGTGAGTATCCGGGCCAAGCACTACGATGTCTTATCATGAGTCCGGACTTTCCTCAAATGGTTCACGTGGATCAAGAAGTAGGCTGCTCATTGCCCTTTGAGAACAAGACTCATTTCCAACCCAAGGGGAAGGGGTAGTACATGGAGATTGTATGCTTTGGGGTGATCCCAAACTTATGAGAAATTTGGGCAGCTAAAGAAAGCATGGGAGCTGGAAGAAACTATGTTTATCTAGAAATTCTAAGTACTTGAAAGAAATTCACCTTACAGAGAATCACTCTTTTGAGTTTGAGTGCCCTCCTACTTACCCTGACCCTGGTGACCTTTCTTACGCAACGAGGAATGATCCAAGGCTTAGTCATTTGACGGAAAGCTTGAAACCACTACTTCATCCAATTAAGAAGTTAAAAGGACTGAAGTTATATTCAAGAGCAATTCTCACATCTGTTATACCTCACAGGAAAAAAATGCTTAAAAGGGACTCATACAAACCAAGAGAGATCATCATGCTTTGTGGTTGATTGTAATAAAACCCCAGATGACTTGATAATTTTCCTGGTAAGGAAACAGATCTGAGTTTCTGGCTTTCCCTAAAACTCCATGGTTTCATATGAAAATACATGAGTCAGTTCCTGTGAGGGGCTAACAGATGAAACTTCCTTGACTGCTTGACACTTGGGCAAAGTGAAGGAGGTCTGGCGTATTAAAACAGCAGCAACCTTCTCCAAAGCCTGACTTTCATTTGTTTCTTTCTACTACCCTAAGAACCACAGCTTCAAACTGTAACTGATCATATACCATGTTCTAATACACAAACCCTGCAATTAGGGTACTTAAGGTAACAAGCAGGACAATTGTTACTTACTAGGACTATTTTCAAAACTTTTTAATGTTTAAGTGTCTTGAAAACTAATCCTGCAAGGGAGATACATGGTTTCTCTCTCAACATCAGGTGACCCAGAAAACTCAAGTCCCAAAGATTTCCAGAGAGTCTAAGGCTGTATTCCCCATTGTATATTATCAACAAGTGGCTGTTACAGAACCTGTGATTCTAGAAGCAAAACCAGCCATATGTAAACAAAAATTAAGAAGATTTTTTCCTTTTGGTTCATATTTTTGTTCCTAGGAAGCAACTTGTTTAGAAAAAGTGCCTTTTCCCTAAGAGTTTTTCTTCCTATGGAATTAATGGCTTGAAACCAGCATTTATTCCTCTAAAACTGTTAATGATCTCTCACTACTGATGCAAGGCAGTGTCAGCCCTTCTCTTTCTTCACCAGTATCAAGGGTTGATCTGATGCAGTGGGGTCTGCTGGGATTCTCCCATAGGCATCATCAGGGATATTAAATTGTTTAGAGGACCACATTGAACTGTAGTCGCAACTGCCTGCATAGTCTTTTCTTACAGAACTTTTATAGTTAAAGTTTTATAACTTCTATTCTCAGATCCATATTTCTTCAAACTCTGCTTTTCACTTCCTTAACCCTCAAATCCCAGAATGAGGAAACATAAGAGATATGAAGTATGTCTGGGAGGAACTGTGAGTGGAAACAGGATCCTTTCTTAAAATCATACCTCATGTATAAACACAGTACCAGGAAAAAACTCATTACCAAGCACCAACCATGGGCAACCTGTGCCGCTAAGAAAAGGCCAATGTTGCTGCTAGGGCGTTTTGGCCTCAGGTCATAGTCGTAAGTTTCCCCTAAAACAAG